TCATTTCTCGTTCTTAGGAACCGGTGGTCCTTCATTCAATCTGTTGTTGCTCTGAGATCTTTATGCACTTATAACTAGTTCAAGATGAAACACACACTTATACTGAAATTTAGATGCTGTATATCCTGACTACAATGAAACAGAACCGATGAAACGCCGCCATTATTTACCTTCTTCTGAATTACAGAGACCCCCTTCTCTCGGGAGAAGAAATATGTACGAAGAGGCAAAGGAACTCAAAATCATTCAATTGCTACGAATCGGCTTAAAAATCACGCGTGAGACAAAGAAACGCATAAATGAAGCGAGGTCGGATTAGAGGAAAAGACGTACTTCTGCGGTGAAAGAGAAACCTTTAGTATATCGAACAATGATATTTACTTCTCATGATAACTACTTTCTCTATCTCTTCTCACGTTGAAGGTTGAGATCTTGATCTCAGTTTTACTCGAGACTAATTTCTCAAGCAGCCATTTTATCAAACGCAAACAAAGCCTTGTTGAAAACAAGGTCATTGAAGTAGTTTAGGAGCCATCGAATCGCACCACCGTCTCTTGGGTAATTCACTGTCCGAAAAGACTGGAAATATAATTGATCTCAATCTCTAGTTGCTCCGCGATCTCCATGCATTGACAACTAGATCAGTAAAGCTGAGTCACGCACTAACACCGCATTTTAAGTGCTGTTGCAGCACCGATTGAACCGATATCATGATTTACCTTCTTATAATTTCCAAGAGCTCCCTTTCGCGGGAAAAGACGTATATTCAGAAGGACTAAGAGCCTAAAAACTAACTAAATCTGTATGAATCGAATTAAAAGCCACACGGAAGAAAAAGAAACGCAAGACTGAAGGAAGGTCAGATTAGAGAACGAGTCTGTACTTTAGCGGTGATCGCTAAGCTTGGAATAGATCGAATTATGATATTTACCTCTTCTCACGATAATTCCTTTATCTCTACCCTTGCACAAGGTTGAAATCTTAATTTCTAACGCAGAGACTAATGCAAACTTAGTCTTCCTGTAATAGACTATGCTTGAGCAACGGTGGTAAGTAACGGTGTTTCCCACCTTCTCAACTCGACAAAATTGATAAAAAAGAAACGTGTAACAGTCTCTTTTTAACTCGCATTACCTGCAAGTAAATATGTTATTTGGACCGAGAAAAAAAGTTGAACTTGCGTCAGGAATTTTTTCAGACAGCCGTGTGGAGATAATTCATTTTGTTCAGAATTATTTCATTTGCATAGTCGACATTCATGACTCACTGAGTTCATTAAGGAGCTGTACAAAGATGTGTACTAAAGTTAAGTATGAAATAATTAAAAACGTTTCGTTTTAGAGACGTCTTGTACTTCTGCACAGTACAGACACTGAAAACAGAAGGTCTCGTAATG